ATCTCATGGTTTGCCATGATAATATCCACAGTGCGGCCTTGTAATTTCACAGTTATTCCTTCCAAATGTGACAGGAATTAGTACATAGTCAAGAAACTTATAATAAAGTCAAAAGACATAAGACTTGTCAGCAGTGAATTGGCATTGTCTCTGGATGTTGTATCCCATGTAACATTTGTGAAATCTTCTCCGCATGCATCTTTATTCGCACCATACACAATATATTCTAGAGCGATAATTACGTATCAGTATACTTGATAAAATGTCTGTATGAGTCAAGCCGTGAAGACCACCTTGTTCTACATAGGTCAATGAGACCTTTTCTGGGTTTGGAAATGTCTGATAATGCCTTCATGATGATTGATTGCAGAAGACTCTCACATTTTGGGCTGGCAAGGAAAAACAGACAACAGTTCTTCAGTTTGGCAATGGTATTTCTTGTGTTTGGAAGAGAACACGAATGGGCTATAACAAGATTAAGGCAATGTCCACTGCAGTGGACATATACAGCCTTTGGAGACTCATTCTTTATCTTTCTCTGAACACCTACATTATCACTGGACATATTTGCAACTCTATCGTATCCTTGACCACGAATATTTTTTAAATCAAGATTGACGTCTTGCAGAAATAGAATCATGGTGCAAGCAATGACTTATCCGGTGACTCTTGGAACATGGAGAAAAGATAAAAATTCTTCACAAATGTCTTTGTTTTGATCAACAAATCTAATAAAAAATGCAAGTTCCTCACGATTATGGATAGTCACCTCATCTGCAAGAATACTGTAGAACGTAGCAGCTTTTATTTCTTTAACCAAGTCACTACAGATGATATTGTATCCAATAATTGTTATAATTTCGTTTTGAATACGCGGAGAGGTGTATTTCGCATTTCGATTACTGATACCAATATGGGAAAGATGCTGAGGTAGGATTTCATCATGTTTTGCAATAATTTGGAGCACTGCCAAAAAGTTACCCGGGTTGTATTTTATCAAATTATCAGATGCCGAAAATGTTTCTTCATCACCTCTCACTGTCTTTCGCAGACAAGGATTGCCTCAGCTATTGTTTTTACAATGTGTCGATTCCTTTCTATGTTAATCTTTCTTTCTTCATCAAAATGAGTACCAATGTTTTCATTTGGCTTCTTGATTGAATTAAAAAACATCTCTGACAAAATCATTACATCGCTGTGGCTTACTTTTGTTTGATGCTGTTTTGCCTTCTTGTCTAACTTATGAAACACGGTAAATGGTTTATTTACGAATATTCCCAAATTCTGTCTTTTGAAGATAGGAATCATTACCGAACAATGGACACAGTATGCGCGATTGTACACCATCCATTTGTAATCCGTCAAGTATCTTGACTTGAATTGACGCTGACATTTGTGAAGAAATTGTGAAGGAAAAATATATACTATAGGTGGCTTGAAGTGATTATTCAAGAAAGAAAAAAGATTATTCCTTATCGCCATACTCAATTCTTCATAATTCATTGTAGCATTCAATATTTTACCAACATCATTGGTGAAAGCGAGAGGTTCAGAATCTGATTGTTTGGAAGTACGAGATATTTTAGCGGGAGGACTATCAATAGAATAATGTTGTTTAGAAATTGCGGTATTAGTATTTGGTGCATATTCATTGAGAGATTGATTATGATTTTCAGTTTGTTTTTTTGTACACCATCCATCTAGAGATTGACAAGTTTTAGCTGCTGATATTCATTTTCTTTCATTTTGCTCTTTGCACCCCATAGTATATGAAGAGTCACTGAGTGTGGTCCAGGAAAGTTATTTTCTGAAAAAGAAACAGAATCAACTTATATGGAAATGCACTCTTTATATGTTTTTTGCATAAAGAAATATGGATTTTAGCACATTAAAAGTCTTCTGTGTCATTGATATTTACCACACAGAAATGAACAGAATCGCAATACATGATTATTTTAATAACTATTTCATAAGAAATTAGTTCACTTAAAAAACAATAGTTATATTTACAAATTGACCTTTCTTTTAAAATTATGTAAAGGGAGGAACTGTACCACAGATGCAGTTTTTCATATTATTCGTTACATTCAAGAATCCATTTAGAATCATAAAAAAACTTAATAATGTATGTAATTTCTTACAAATGGTGGATCATAATGGGCCATTTATGCTAATAGACGCAAAGAAATCCAAAGATATACGTAGTACATGAGAATGTACTCTAAATATCAAAATTGGATATAGAATCCAGCAGGAAAAAAAAGATCTCCAAGAGAAAAGTTTTGGATATTTCGGAAATTCGAAACCATCATCAACTAGTTACTCTCAGATTTAAATATAGAAAAAAATCAAAAGAAGTAGTTCTTGCAGAATATGAGTCAATTATGGCTTCTATCAAAAATAAAACATCTAATGTATCTGTTTTATTGGAGGACGGTACAATCAAGGAAATTGTTGTACAACATATTGTAAATATGATATAACAATGATAGATGAAAAAATTCAAATTATTATTTCCATAGTTACCAACTCTTACAATACTGTTCAGTGTGTGGTGCATCTCCGACCGAAATGAACAATTTATCTTTAATAGTTCAAAAAAAAACTTTAGAAGGCAATATCAGACATGGTATTTCAACTTTGCATGCTTGGATAAGGTTTTTAGAATGTATATTCCATATCTCTTACAAGATGCCAATTATGAAGTGGCAGACTAGAACTGAAGAAGTAAACTGTATTGTTAAACTGAGAAAGGTTCAAGTTCAAGTTGACGTTCATAGGTGAATGACGTTCACCTACAATCAGTAACACAGTTAGGTAATTTTTTTAGTAATACGATGCCTCAGCTAATATAATAAACATTGATGCAAATCTTTTCAAAAGGCTTCATATTATTCTGGTCACAATGTCATGTGATTATGACATTAGCTCATCAAAATTTAAAACATTCTGTTTGGAAACTGCCTCACTATATGTAGACCTGTACCTTTGGTAACCTATGACCCAAACACTTTATAAGATTTTGATTTATGGCTACAAAGTCATTGAATTATTTAATCTTCCATTAGGTATGTTTTTTGAAGGTGCTCAAGAGGCTACCAATAAGGTATTATTAATATATATTATTAATAGGTAATAAAATGCGATCGGAAAAAAAACAATTTAGACTTTTTTCACGGTCTTTTATGTGCCTCTGATCCTTTAATTTGCACATTTAGAAAGAAGATGCATAACAAAAAAAAGTCTACCATCTGGTATCATTGAATTATTGCATGAGTCAACAACAGAATACTCTACTTAAAATATATATTTAAATAATATTCTTGTTGCTAATTTGTTGGGTGATTTAAGGGAATTTTTCATAAATGGAAAAATTGGAGTTTTTAAATAATTTGCATAACAATGTAATAAAAGTTTTTTCAAAACAAATGTAACTTTATCGGCATATTGTGTCTTTCAATGTAATAAAATGTTTCCAATAAAAAAAAGTTATTAAAATTTTTGTTTTGGGGGTTTTGGCTAGAAAATGTCACTTTTGACCCACTGTGTGCTGGAAGCAACATTATTTCAAAACAATTTTTTTGATATGCATTGTAAAAACAAATCAACATTAAAAAGCTTGATAAACATCAAGTTAAATTTTTGTTTCTTAAACTTTTTTTTCATTATTATTGAAATATTTGGACAATTTTATGTATTGGCAAATGAATAAAGCAATAGACTTTAATTGTCTGCATGACCTTACAGTATTGCATATATATATATATATATATATATATATATATATATATATATATATATATATATATATATATATATATATATATATATATATATATATATATATATATATATATATATATATATATATATATATATATATATATATATATATATATATATATAATAAACTTGTGGCTTGATCCTCGAATTCATAATTGTTGGCATCATCAATTTCAGGAACATCAATGTAAGTGTTAATCTCATTAGTTTGCTTAATTTAATATTATTTTGAATTGGATTTATCTCTTTAGTAAGCAATTTATTTATTTCACAATCAATTATTTTTTAGGTGGATCTTTCAGTTCCCGCTCATATTTATTGCTATTGTTGTTCTCAAACAAGTCTTGGGTTACATTACATATTTAGCTAGATTTAAAATATTGCTATTATGAATCTTTTTTATTATAAAGACTTATATTATAAGTCTTTTTCCAAGCTTTACCTTCTTTATCAAACAAATAGGTAAAAAAAACTTTAAAAATAAAAAAATAAATATAGCAATTCAGTGACTAAATAAAAAGACTTAATTAGGTCAATTGTAAAAAAAAAAATTTGGTAAGGGTCAGAGATCGATCAGAGACTAATGGGTTTCAACATAGCTAAGGTTTAAAATGCTTTTAATTGACAAAAAGAAACAAGGCTTTGAAATTATTTTTAAAGTTTACTTCAAATAGAATTAAATTATAGCCAACTAACATAGTTATAAAAGTGATTTTTTTAAATTTAATTATAACCAACTAACATTAGTTATAATAGTGATTTTAGTGTAAATTTAAAAATTTTTAAAGATTGAAAAACTTTTTTTTTTTTAATCTTTCACAAGTTTAAAAAAAAAGTTATTAAAACTTGTTAAAAAAAAAAATGATATTGAATATAATTGAATACTATTAATAGTAACAGCACTAATATATTGAATACTAATAATAGTAATAATATTTTTTTAGTATAGTAGTTTTATTTTATAGTATAATATTAATTATCTAAAATAGTCTTTAAAAACTGTATAAAATAAAACTTTTTTTTTTTTTTTCCAGGCCTGTTTTCACTGATTAAACTCATCGGATTTTTTTTAATTATAAATTTGACCAATCAAATTATCCTAATAAATTGTGTACAAATACTTTTACTAGCCCAATATATTAATGGATTATTATAAACAATATTGAAATAGATAAAACGCTTTAAAGGATTAATGTTTAAAAAAAAAGTATACATACGCTTATCCATTAATATTGAACTTGTTAGAAATAAACTTTATTTCGGAAGAAAAAAAATTAGCTTTTCACTAACGGGTCCGAAGTGAGCTGGAAACAATTTGCCAGCTGGAACTTCACCATGGCAAAAATATGATAAGGAAACCGACAACAATAAAGCTGTTGGTGCTGTCAGGGCCGCCCCAAAGAGGTTTTAAAGGTAGGGGTTAAAAAAGGGGGGTTTTAAAACGGTTTTACCAACTATGGGCAAAAAATTATTTTTGTTGACTAAGGTCTTAAAAAAAAAAAAAGTTCCTTGATGGCCGACATTTGCCGACTGCCAAACTAAAGGTCCTAATTTAACAACTAATTTTTGCTTCTTAATCAATTTACTTTTATACTAAGGGAATTTTGATCTAATCAAATCTTTTTTGTAGCAAGGTGTAGAGATTTAGAGAAAAAAAGTTTTCAGTGATAACTGATTATTGTGAGTCAATAAGAGAACAATTGCTTACAAGAATTAGAGTGGAAAGAAATCTTTTTTAAAAAATTTGAATTTTTTTTTTTTTTTTTATGGGGGGGGGGCTCATTTCAGCGTTTGACGTTGCAACATTACAGCATTTATCAAGTTGTTGTTTACAGCATTTATCAAGTTGTTCTTGCGTAAACAGTAACTTATCCTTGACTCATATTTCTGAAAAGGTTTTACATTTCAATACTGTTTATCATTAAATAATAAGTTAAGTAATTTTTTTTATTATTCATTACCCTCTGTAGATATGTTTACAAGGTAAAAATAAAAACTAACAAATAAAGTTTAAAATCAAGCAAGAATAAAAGAAGATAACAAATAAAATACAAAACGATCATTTAGGAATGTTTTTTTCAAGATTATTTTTAAAAATTGTTTAATAACAATATTAATGATATTAGTTAGTAGGAGATATTAGTTGTGAAAGTATTAATAATAATATTAATGAAAATAGATAATAGCAATAATAATAGTAATTGAAATAATAACAATAATAATAATAGCAATAATAGTAATAACAATAATAACAATAATAACAATAATAATCATGAAATAGTATTATTTAGAATAAATATAAATATGATTAAGAAAAATGGTGTCACTCACACACAGTGGCGTAACTAGGGGGGAGCATAACCCCGCAAGGCGGGGTTATGCTCGGCTCGTGTAAGGCCCGGAGCTTAGAGGTCCCCGCGGAGATTTACAAACTTTACTCAAATGAATAATATGACTGTTAATAATAATATGAGTGTTACTAATTTCTGTTTTATCAAGTACATTTTATGAAAATATAATTTTTCACGTATCCCTACGGGCATTTTTAGAGAAAAAATTGAGAAAAAACTTAAGGAGGGCCCTTTTACTTGTTTGGCGGAGGGGGGGGTAATTTATAGTTACGCCACTGCTCAGACAGAAACCTGATTATTTTAGATAATAGTGACAAGTGACACTTTAGATAACAGTAACAAGTTTATTATCACGTACTTTTTTCTGATTGCCAATCTGATAAAAAGTTTATTTACACACGCATAAAAAAATTATAAATATAATTATTTTAACTATAAATGTAAAAATACATAATCTATTTTAAAATCATAACCTATAAATTTTTTTTTTTTTTTTGAAAGTTGATTTAGGTGCCTCAAAAAGTGTCATACATGTATTATATATAATATATTAAGTATTGTACATAATATTATTGCGATTAAAAATTAAAATATCATGTGTATAAACAGTAAGTCACAGATACACACATAGTTTGTGTGTCTGTGTGTGTCTTTATGTGTGTATGTGTGTGTACACATTGCATATATATATATATATATATATATATACATATATATATATATATATATATATATATATATATATATATATATATATATATATATGTATATATATATACATATATATATATATATATATATATATATATATATATATATATATATATATATATATATATATATATATGTATATATATATATATATATATATATATATATATATATATATATATATATATATATATATATATATATAGTATATATATGTATATATATATATATACATATATATATATATATATATATATATATATATATATATATATATATATATATATATGTATGTTTATATATATATATATATATATATATATATATATATATATATATAGTATATATATGTATATATATATATATATATATATACATATATATATATATATATATATATATATATATATATATATATATATATATATATATATATATATATATATGTATATATATATATATATATATATATATATATATATATAGTATATATATGTATATATATATATATACATATATATATATATATATATATATATATATATATATATATATATATATATATATATATATATATATATATATATATATATATATATATATATATATATATATATATATATATATAGGGGCGGATGCAGGTTTTAAATTTACCCCGTCAAAAAAAAGCGTCTTACGCCATGTTGTAAGTGACGCAATTATGCCCACAAGCCAAATAAAAAAAAAGGAGGGGGGCTGGAGCAAGAGCGGATTCGGACCATGAATTAAAGGTGGAAGGGGGCAATATTTTTGATTTCGACTATCCAGACCACCGATTTTTAAGTAGGCAAGCGCAAAAAATAGAATTTGCACTAAACAATTTTATTGGAATTTGATGCATCTTTGAAACAGCCTCCTAAATTTACTTACGTTTTTAAACAATATGCTCAATATCTCAAAAAAACAACAACAAACATCTAGGGGAGGGGGAGGGGCAATGACTCCAAAAGCCTCCTTCTATGTATCCCTTTAAATCTTCTTACCATTGGACAGGAGACTTTAAAGAGATTTTCTTTCTATTGCAGTGAGAAGCTCATATCTTAGTTTTACTTAGAAACTTTTTTTAACAAAAAGTGTTTTTTATTAAAAGAGTATAGAGCTGTCGATTCTTTTCTATCATTTTGGTATAACATATTACAATAATAAATATATAAACCAACAAATGATTGTTTCGCCCAATATCAGGGCTCATCAGCATATCTAGTAATATATTTCATTCCAGACATGGACAATCAGAAAAAGAATAATCAATAACAGAAAAGAGTAAGATACAAATACAAATAGATTTATATACATAGTAATAGATATATACATAGTAATAGATTATATACATAGTAAAAAAAAGGGTTATATTTATTTTCATATTACAAGATTAAAAAAAAAGTTAAACTAAGTTATCCCTTAAAAACAAGAAAGAAGATCATTTTTGATCAAATGAAAAGAATGGTAACAGTTTTTGAGAACAATTACAGTAAAAAACTGGTTTAAATGGCACAAAAACTATTATTAGGTTGATTGAGAGAAAATTTATCAAAAATAATTTTTATTTGTTTTATTTTATTGCTAAATTAGAAAATGATAGAAAGAAATTGTCAATGTCAGAAAGCAAAGGTTAGTGTTTGTCTGAACAATGACCACTAATAATATAGCAAATCCCAAACAAAAGTATGGGGTTACATCCTGTCCTGTTAAGGACACCACTGATGTCTTGGTCCAAGGGGTTTCCATGCATACTTGTTAGCTGTTATAGGAAGAGCTGTGATAATGGAAAATAACTTTTTAATATAAAGTAGTTGGTATGTGTTAGAACAAGGAGCATAAACACTAATCATTGAAATGAGGTTGTCAATTTTTTATAGAAAATCTTTTTATAACATCAATACAAGGAACAATTTTTTAATGGATATACATTAATGCAAAACCATTAAGTCAATGTTCTGACATGTTGCTCTTGTATAGCCTTTTAACAGACGCATAACAGTAAAACTCCTCTCACATTAAGTATCCTTAAGCTATATTAATATTTTCAAATCCAGAAAATAATATTGATTTAAGATTTAGGAATATTATTAGGGATGCAAACATGATGCTTCATAGCAGCTATTTTAAAAATTATGTGTACATCATTTCTGATGGTAACAAATTTATTTTTAAGAACTGTAATAAGGTGCGAACCGTCTGAGACATTAATAGTTTTTGATTGCACTAACCAAGTAATAGGTAAAGTAAAATCAAAAACACATGTTGCGAAAAATAAAGTAAAGATAAATTGAAAAGTGCTAATGGAATTTTAAAAAGTAAATTTATTTGGTGTGTTTTTGTTAACAGAACTCTCAAGGAAAGCCATGATACGTAAACATGGAAAATTGATGAACAATGTTCATAGCCAAGTCTTTAAACCATCTATACGCTCAATCCATCTTATGCGTTCGAGGTTCAAGCTCTAAAATACTAGCTTCTAAAAACTTTATCTATTTTCTGTATAAATAATTCTGAATAATTAGAAAAAACCTCTGAGACTAATTGGACATTACATTCACAAACAAATAAATTTACTCGATAGAAATAACTTCAGCCGATAGAAATTCTATTTTATTCAGAACCTTTGAATTTATAATTAGAACCCGAGCAGAAAGATCATTTATATACTCAGAGACAGAACTGGCTTTTCATATCCTTAACCCCTACAGTTTTTTACATCTAGATTCAAGTTGCTTACACAATTAACACAGATTAACTTATTGTATTAAATAGAATAAGATAATTATTTTTGAAGAAAAAGTAAAGCGATTTACTTCAAAGCAATACAATGCTTATTATTGTTCTTTTAAGTAAGATGGGATACTAACTTCTGCTCATATATTTCTTCTAATTGTGCCATCGATAAAACGACTTAAAAGATCTTAATTAGTAACCATTTTATTATTGTTATTAATAAATTTATCCAATAGTTTCATAAAACATATTTACAAGATTACCAATTTACAAAATCCTCAAACAAGATAATTGGTTTTAATCTTTTTAGAACATCTTTAATTAAAGGCCGTTTTCCACAAGACGAAAAATTCGCGCGAAGCGAGTTTTTTTGTCGTTAAGCATGCGCAGATTAAATATTTTTTGATTTTTTTTCGCTACTGTGTTTCACTGCAGCAAAAAAAAAAAGTCGGATTCATTTCAAATCGCCATAAGTGAAAACCAATCAAGTTTTGAATATTATACCACGTGATGTCAAC